TTACAAACTGTCTAAAAATACCGAAATAAAAATCACAATTATTAATTTGCCTAACTCTAATAGTTTGACACTTTATTTTATACAGCTGTTTCTGTGTTATTTTAATTTACTTTCCTTTAAGTTTATTTATTTTTATTGTATATATTTTAGATTATTATTTAGTTGTTACTTAGTTTTATTTTGTAGGCCAACTATGAACCACGGATATATCACTTAGTCTTCTTTGTAGCCTCTTTTCTCCTCCTCAACACTATCTAACTTTGGTCCAGCGAGGTACAATTAGAGTCCTAAAGGATTTCGTTTTAGTTTGCCCAGTCTTATTCCTAACTCAGGAAAGGTTATTCAGCCGTACCAGGTGGAAACATATTTTCAAGTTCTTAAGATGGAAATTTAAAGTATGGAAAAATAAAAAAGTATGGAAATTTAAAGTATGGAAAAATAAAAAAGTATGGAAATTTAAAGTATGGAAAAATAAAAAAGTATGGAAATTTAAAGTATGGAAAAATAAAGTATTGCGTAGAATAATGTTGTATGGAATATTAGTGCTTTCCTGGGCATTTGCTGGAAGGCCATTTATCAAGTCATAAGCTGGGGCTTTTCTTTCAGGTAATTGTTTGATTTGTTATGCAACTTGTGGAAGAGTGAACGAAAGAGAGGGCGGTGTTAACGATAGTGGAATTTCTAGAGTATTTTATTCTAAGGTTTCATGTTCTGTGTTTATAAAGTCATTAAACGGTGTAAATAAAGATGATAGATGATTAGCAAATAATTAAAAAAAATTCCCTGTCTGACAAAGCGTATGAACCATCCTCTTTTAGCAGAGATACTGACACCTCTCCATGTTTTAATGAATTCTTCGTATGCTTCCATATACTTCCATCGTCAGTCGATATACTGTTCAACTAAGCATCATAGTTTGTCGCATTGAATTTGTGTATTAGCCGGTTCAGTTCATTATTCAGACTGTAAAATGTTCGTTTATTTGAGGGATTTCTTAGTCTCCCACACCTTATGAGCTCTTCTCTTTGCCGTAATAAAGTCTCTTATATACTGAGGATATCTCGGCAAATTCTTTGGCTTTGATGGCGTCGGAAGAGATGATGCCCAAGCAGCTTTTTGGACACTTTTGGTAAATTTGTCCACTGCATCATCTAGTTCTTCTTCAGTTTTAATTGACTCAGGGATTGAAAATTCTGAATGCAGAAATGCTCTGTAAACATTATAATCCACGTTACCATTGACGAGCTTTGGGTTTCGTGGAAGGTTTATAAGAGAATGGTCAGAACAGAGATCAGAGATTGTATTTATGGTGGGAACTATGGTCCGTAGTCCTTTAGTTATAAAAAAGACTATTAGGTCTGGAATTTTACGTCGTGAAGCTGGCCAATATGTCGGTGTATCAGGTGATATAGTGTCTAATGAAAACAAGAGATAGGAGCCCTCAGATTTCTTCTCCTTGGTGTGCATTGTGGCCCTTAAAATTGGTGCTTTGCGTTGATGTCACCGCCCACTATGAAGCAACGCCCAAGGATTTGAAAATAATTGCAAAACATCGAAGGTGACGATACGTACCTCGGAGGGCAATATACCGCAGCTATTGTTATTGTGTTATGTGTAGTAGGTAGCCTGTGGTTTGTATGTTTGGTGTTGTGAGTAAGTACAAGGGGTAATGTGGAAGTGATGTCTTTATTAGTATAGCCGTACCACCATGAGCTGTGTTGTCAGAATTGTCTCTTCTGGCGTAATGTATCCCGAAATATGAAATTTAGTTCGTGGTATAAAATTTGTTTCTGTTATCAATGCGATGTCTGTCCGTTTTTTGTGTAAATAAAAGTCCAATTCTGTACTATATTGCATTAGTCCGTTTGACTTCCACAGAAGGATGGACAAGGATCCTACAGTTACCTGATTAATGGTCATTTGGAAGATCTTGACTCACTTGCGCGAGCTGTTGGAGAAGGCTAAAAAGTGGCTGGATGAGTTTGTTTAGTAGCTGAAAGATCATTTAATAACTGAAACAGTTGTGGTGTGATACATGCATCAGCTGAAGTGTGCTGGGTACTTTCTCCCTTATGGCTGCCAAAGGTTGAGTGTTTTGTGATACTGGTCCAGGCTGTTTCTGGACTGGCAGTTGCGTCTGCGCATGATGCTGCTGCGTGTGTTAACTTCTGCGTGAGCTAACTTCTGCTGCTGTGCAGGGAGATGCCGCTGAAATTGCTTCTGCTTCTTTCTGCACTTGATAATTCTGATTCTGTACATTCCTAGGAGGTTGTGGAAGATTCAGGAATTCTAGAAGATTCGCTTATGCTCTCTGGTGAACTTGATTTCTCGTAGTTCTTTATGCTCTCAAATCACGCAGCGTAAACACAAAATTTTAACAAAACAATATTTCATTCTTTTTCATGATAATGAGTTATCTTGAAAAAAAAAATGTATTTTTTCATTGAAATTTTTGCTAGCTATTAAGATTTTATGCTTTTTTCGTCTGTGGTCTGTGGTTTAAACAAATTATTATGATGGTATACCAGTTTTACTACTGTTGGTTATAATGAAATGAAATGAAAAAATAATTTTATTTTAGGACTACAGTCTCCTAAGAATAATAACAGAGTTACATAATTAAGAGGATTAGCCTGGCTTAGATAAATACAAAATAATGCCTAATTAACTGTTGATTGTTTTAGCAATTGTACAGTTGATTGAATTAAACAGCACGGACTCTTTACGGACTCGGAAGTAAATTTTACATGTTTGTTAGGAACTTTGAAAATGGAGTAGGTGATGGAAAAGGAGTTGCTTGAAGGAATTTGTGGACGAGGATGGACGTATGGAGTTAGATAGAGAGTTCCAAAAGGAGGTAGCACGAATGACGTAAGATTTTCTGAAGGAAGCAGAATTTGTTTTGACCCAAATTGACGCACAGAAAGGTAACCTGGTTGGACGGTCATTTATAGCTCTTTTTACGCTAATGAAAACTCTTTCCTTAGGAATAAGGGTGTAAAAATCTAAAATGTAAAATCCTCATTCCTAAGAATTAACAAAAAATTAACAATAGTAAAATATATAAAGGAAGTCAGTATGGAAGTATTGAAATTAATTTAATCTAATTTTTGAACCTTATTACTTCAACCATCATTAGAAAGCTCACTCTCTGACTGAAGTCCCTCTTGACCGCTTCCTAACTGCAATTTAAATTCCCCTTTTATTTCCTTTGTTTTTTTTTTTTCTTCTTTTCTTGTCTACACAGTCTGTAAATATTTGAACTCTTCAAAAATCCATAACCCCGTAAAAATATGCTCCTTCAAAAGTTTGGTGATGTTTATCCTGTACTTTCCGCTAATTATTTTTTTCGTTGTAAGCAGAAGAACGTTATTCGGCCTCTCTATTTCCTCGAAACCTCGAAAAGACTGATGGTTATTATCAATCATTATGAGGTCTAGAACATGTGCTTCAGCTATAAAACATTTCTCTAAAAAAAAAAAAAAAAAAATCAGTTTTCCAACGCTTATTTATTTTGTATATAAACAGGGCTACAATATCTTTCAAACCTGTTTAAGTTTTATAATGTAATTCGTATAATTTTCATAAGATTTAAAAAAAATTATCCCAGAACTTTTGTTTACGTTCTCTGAAATAGTCAAAAAAAGAACAGTGCAAATCTGCACAAAATGTGATTATTATTTTTCGAAATAATATAAAAAAGGGGACAGAATAAAAAAAAATATATATATAGTGGTGGGACGTCTGGAAGGATATTTTATAGACCTTATAAGCGTTATTTATGTATTTCAAAGGTTTGATCATAGCTGTTTTTTTAAATGCAACTGTAGCCAATATCAAAGTGGTTTAACTTAAATTAATCCAGTGAAAAACAAAGATAGTTAAGTAAGCAATCTTCAGCAAAACCATACACAGCCTCTGATTTGAACTCTAAATAAAGAAATGCTGGAGCTATTTGTCAACTACTGGGATTGAAGGCCTCCTCCCCCAAACCTTACTCTTTTGTGTGTTTATTTGTGTCCTGAAGTGTGAGTTTAACCGAACTTTGAAATTTTACTAGGCCACCTTCCAGGTCATCAACTATCTATAAAAATGATGTATATAATATTTCTTTTTCTTTGTTATGTCTAACCTACAATAAATATATTAATAAATAATGTGCAATCTGCTAAGTTTAACCTATTAAACTTGCTGATGTGCGTTTTTACGCAGTCATGTGTAACATCCCACTTCAACAAACACTCATATTGCGAGAAGGAGTAATACAAAATAACCAATATTTATTATTATTATGAAATAAGCTGTCTGATCGACGAGGTTTTATGTTTTAAACACGATATATAAGGCAAAAAAAATGTTTACACTTCACAAAGGTTTTATAAATAACGGATAATAAATATTTCAGTTATTTAAATTAGCTTCATTACATAATCACATTCTTCCAAGGTTATTTCACATTAAACATTTATTGTATTACTTAACATTTTAATAATGTTGGGATTCTAGCCATTGTTTAAGGCCGAAATTAATTACTAGAATTTATCATACATAAATTTTTTACATTTCACGTTCTATTTTACTTGGTGATTTATAAAATTCAACTTAATGAATTTTTGAATTTTGTGTTTAAAATAAAGAAATTTGAATATATAATAAAAATTCCAAGTAAAACCTGTCGGTGCTCTGCCAAACAATTATTCAATTCACGCCAGCTTGTGTGGTATTGATATTTAAAATTTAAAAGATTATAATAATTCATACCAATTGGATATGTATGTGAAGTTTAATCATTTGTGGAAAGGAAGGAAAATGTAACACGACCAAGGAAGATCAATTTCATAAAAATAAAAGAACGTCGTCATTATTTTTTCGACAGTAAAGTGTAACATAATAATAAACAAACAAATGTTATGTCGGTTAGTCTGCTACAATCCTTGATAATACTATTTTTGATTTAGGGAATGCTGCTGTAACGAGGTAAGACTGTAATAATCAAGACAGTTATAAGAAAGTAAATCTCTATATTATTATATTTTTATATAATATATAATTTTTCATTGTATTTATAATACAAATTTATTAAACTAGGAATGAGTATTCCTAATAGGCTTAGATCTTGTGTCGTTTCCTGTATGAGCCTGTTGGGTCATATTTCTTCTCCACTTCGTCGAAGTCGGCCTTCTTATTCTTCAGCATGAACTTGAGGGTTTTATCTGTACCAATCTTCTGATGTTCGGAGCATTTCATGCAGTCTGTAAGAATGGCTTCGGGCATGTTCTCTGCAAGTAGAAATTAAATAATTATTATATATATATGTTTGAAATGTTTGATATGATTGCGAAGAAAATAATGAGAGAGAACTTGTACGGAAAAAGAAAATGAGGAAGTCCTAGAAAACGATGGCTGGGTGACCTAGAGGAGAATCTGGCAAAGATTGGAATACCTGGATAGAAACAGCTAGTGCTGGATAAGGATGTATAAGAACGAATTATACGAGAGGACAAAGTCCACATCGGACCGTGGTGGTAGTGAAGTAAGTAAGAAGAAAATATATTATAGAAACAACAGGATAATAAACAAATATGATAATAAAAAGATAGTAATACATTAATATAAATGAATAAATTATTTTATGAATTTAATTTTTATTAGTGATATATAAAATATAACGAATTAGTCAACTTAAACATAGCTAGTTAGTTAATTTCTTCAAATTGAATATACTTTTACTTAACGATTTGAAATTAAAGTTATTAAATTGTTTTTTTGGTTTTGTAGTTTAAGCATAGGTTGATTTAAATAAATGTATATACCATGTATCAGTAAAATTTACTTCGTAAATTCAATTTTTTACAATTTAATAATATTTTGAATACTATGTGAGTGCTATGCATAGTTACATGCGACAAGATTTAACAGAGTAAATATCGAGTTAATACCGACAAAAAAAAACAACAAAGAGTTAAATTTATAAAGGTTTCTCAAAAGAGACAAAATATCACACATATTCTCAATATTTGAGTATAATTGATTACCTAGAACTAATTTATATAAGACCTATTACCTAGTTAAGACCTATTGATTACCTAGTATTAATTTATATAGGACCAGTACAAATTATACATTTGTTATTTTAAAAATTATACAACTGTTCATTTAATTACATATGCGTTGAGTTTCTGTAATCTTCCACTCTCCTAATACGAAATTAAGATTTTATACCCGAAATTTGTACGGGAAGTGTTAGTTAGAATGATCGCCACAGAAGAGCAGCACTATCGAGCCCAGATTTAGACTCCTATGTACGTCTGAAATGTTGAGCTCTGTAAACTCCTACTCCCCTAACACTAATTTGACATTATCACCTAGGAAGGTGTCTTCTTTACGAACCGTCCAGCTTTGTATGTGTAAAATAAAATATGACAGTCACTAAATTCTTTTTTATATAAAAAAGAGATTAATTTATGTCGGTTAGCGATTGCAATAAATATAAGTACACCAAAGAAATACATTTATTTTCTTTGTGCTGAAGTTTCAAGTCTTAATCAGGAATTTTGTAGATTCGTCCGTTATCTTTTGAACGAGTAAACTCAACTTCTACTAATTTGTTATTGTGAATTACTAATAATACATAATGATTAATACTATCTTCGCATTTCAGGATTGTTGTTATAGTTAATTTAAATAATAAAATAAGTAGTTGCCTAATAAATAAAACTTTAAAAATCTCGTTTGATCATGTACACTAATTAAATCTTGCTCATGTCAACTGTTAACTATGGATTGCGGATTTGTTTTTTTAACTTTCAATATCAATCTGCACCTGCCAACGACTGATGGACTATTTTTATACTTAAGAATATTAATAATTAATAAATCATTCATAAGACCAATTTTTAATTCAGGAAATTCTTTCAAATAAAGAATTATGCACTACGTATTATAGAGTCAAATTCACAAAACGATATTAATTATTTTGAAAATATTTCATAATTTATAATTTATCTTAATCATGATAAAAAAAAATTAAAAAATAGTACTCAAACACCCCATAAAGGAAAAAGTAATGGTGCGATATCTGTAGCGACATGTTCTCTATGAAATTTCTTTAATAGTCATGTCATTACGAAAACCTCTTCTCTTTTTCCTCTAATTTTAGTTTCATGGATACACTGAAGTAAAATAATGGAAGTTACGATATCTATAATAAATACCTTTATTATTCAGTATACAGAAAATTACTTTCAAATTAGATATTTCCATTGAAAAACTCTTTTTTTTTTTTTTTAAGTAATAAATATTACAATTACAATTATATTCGAAATAATTCCTATAACTTTTATCAATACATAATTCCTATGTATTTAATCGTTGGTCAACGATTTTTTACCAACGATGCTTATTCTATAACAGTAAGTGCTAATAAAAATGTATTAGGACTTACTTCTCAACTCTTTGCCGTCAGGAGTACAATCTCCTCTATCCATGACACAGTCGATGTACTTCTTGTAAAGCCTGTCGTTGTTGAGGATTTCATCAATGTCAATGTTGTCGTATTTGGTCGTGTACATATCACCCGGTCTGGCAACCGCCACTGCTGCGAACAACAGGAGTGCTACTAGAACTTTCATCTTGTTGGATGTGAATGCTTGATTAAAGTTGAAAACTATATATACACAGAATCCCACCGCCCCTCCAACTAACTCATAATGCTAATTTCTTTAAATGGTAATTATATAACTCTTTAACTTATTGTCATTCTGATTTATAAGGAAGATCCGGGAATCAAATTCTCCCATACATGTATAATTATAATAATCTTATGGTATTTGGAGGTCGGAACTTGAGGGCATTGGTAGCAAAAACTCTAAGGTTCCGAAATTCCTGTCTCGGTTTGGAATATGGATTGAATCGTTTAACCACATTAATATCTACAACTAATTGTAATACAATACATAATATTTCTCTAAAAATGAGAAAAGTCTTTATTGTTACAATCATGTTTTTTTTTTTTGTTTTTTTTTAAATTAAACTTAAGATGTCAAACGAAATCTCCTTTCCAGTATATTACTTTATAAAACTATTAGGAAGCTAATTTTCGTTCTGAAAAATGTCAAGTAGTTTTTGGATAGAAAAATACACTCAAAAATAGAAAAGGCCCATCCACCTTAGATATACAATTTTAATGCTCTGACAAGGGAACGTCGCATAGATATTATCAGATTATGAATTGGCCTTTTTGAAATGCAGACATTATGTTTTAAGTTTTGAGTACTTATGAATTAAATTAAATATAATAATTCAAGTTAACAGTTTTGGTTTAAAAGCTTGAAAATTACAAGCATAAAAATGTAAACTGATGCTATAAATGTTCAAATACATAGATTTATATTAATGATAACGTAAAGAACAAAATGGACGAGCATTTTTTGTCTTTTTTTTAATCCACTTTAGACAATCTTAAAATTATTATTTGATAATTGTTACTTTTGTTTTTTTCATAGTGTTTTCACCTGATTAGTTCTTCGTAATTATCATATAAAAATTGTCAACCTGTACCACTATAACCCATGAAGGGTTTTGGGTTCAGTACTATTTAGGGAAAGCACTTTTTCTAGGTCAACGGTTGTGCAAGGAAGTAATGTGACCGAGATCACGCTCAACCGCCAGGTTTTCCCCCTTAATTAATTATTTAATTAAGGGTACCCACTGTATAGAGGCTGGGTTTGCCCCATGAGGGTCTCCCGACCCAGGGTCGCCCCACGGCCAATGAAACAGATAAATAAAATTTTCTGCCATGAGCCAAAAATTGTCAAAGATGTTGAATTTTTCAGATAATTTTGGTTTAATAAATTATATTATTATTATTATTTTTTTCTAGGGCGGTATACTGAATGAATAAAATACATTCGCCTTCCACATAATTTAAAAAGTTGGAAAATGGAGATTTCGAACTGTGAAAATCAATGTAACATATTGTATTAATATTTAAAACAATTATCAATACCATGTAATGAAAAAAAGAGATTTTATTAATTCAATGTTTTTTTGTCTTCTACACTCCTTCGAAAGAAATTATTGCAAAATTTCAGATTTTTCAATTTTTTTTTTCAGTTCAAAACATATTTTTAATGCATTAAATGATAAAAGATATCCTTCTCTCACTAAGAGAAGAATACTTTTTTTTTTAACACCGCTCAAGATAACATTCCGGGTTCAACAAAACTTTACATAACATTGTGAGAAATTTCTAACAAACTTATAATGATACACTTGAGGAAGCTAAATAATATAAATAATTTACTGTAAAGATCTTTTCTTGTGTATATAGATGTGTATATAAATTACAAACTGTCTTGTTACAAATAAATCAATAAAGTTAATCTTGAAGAAGAGGCCCATTATCTTAAATGAGCAAATATTAGAAATTGTTTTTTTCGCAAGTGTTTAGTTTTAGTCTGGGAGCCCATGGCTAAAAAGGTGTCATATTTCATATTAAGGTTCGTCCTTATAAATTGATCATATCCATAGGCCTGCTGGGAAAAACGCACCTCTGCCAGTATATAACCGCCGGAATACAAAATGTGATGATTGATGATGGTGATTGAAGATGATGGCGATCATGTGAATATTGAAGGAGACCCTACATAGTTTGTAAGCGTATATAGAGGTATTATGGCTTATGGATATATAAATTTACCAACCCTTTCAATTTATAGCATTTACAGTCTTAAGACATGAAATAATAGTCAGTTGCCCATTTCTGTGGATTTCAATTCGAAAAGTTTAGTTTATTTATCGAAAAAAATATTGAATTATTTCGGTTTTTCGGTAATATCAGTGAAACTATGCGTTGTGTCTATAATTGTGTGATATGTGATCAGCTGATGCGAAAGGTCGTGTTTCCACATCGTCTCTCAGAATTTGCTTATTTTACAGTGAAATCTTTGAGATTATCTATTCAAAACAGGCCAAGAGTACATAACAACAATTGATATTTATTGTTTGTTATAAATTATAGGGTTATTTTTATTTTTTTATTTTTTTTTATTGATTTTTTTTTTTTTTTTCCCCTTATATGCGATATCACCATCAGGCCATGTCTAGTAGAGCGTCTATCAAGAGAATTCGGCCGTTAGGCTCAACACCTTGTTCTTCGCCAGTCAAACAAAAGCCTCGTCAATGTCGTCAAACACCTGCAGTAACGCCTATTAGCTCCAGAGAAAATGAAACCCAGCCAGGAACATCATCAAAACCAACAATTGAAGAACTTCAGCAACAACCAGGTACATCTTCACAAGAGATAACCGACCAATCTCCGTTTTTCACCCCTAACCCCTATCAGGTGCTTCAGAATGAAAAAGAAGTGATGGAATCCGCTTCAATACCAAGAGATCCCCGACCTCCACCCATATTCGTTAAAAACATAAAAAAATTTCAGTTACTATGCTCACAACTGAACAAAATAACAGGCTCTGGAAGCTATTCATGTCTAAGCAGAACAAAGGACACGAAGATATCACCAGATACAGCTGAAACCTACAGAAAAATTGTGAAGTATCTAATGGAAACCAACGCGGATTTTCATACGTACCAATTACGGCAAGATCGAGCTTTGAGGGTAGTCATAAGAAATCTACACCCCTCAACACCAACCGAAGCAATAGAAGAAGAATTGAAAAATTTAGGTTTCATAGTGCGCCAGATTACAAATGTACAGAAGGAGAGTAAAGAACAGCCAGGAGTAAAAGTTCCTCTACCCTTGTTTTTCGTAGATTTGGAGCCAAATCAAGGGATTGAAAAAATATATGAAATTAGAAGAATATACTACACAAGTGTTATAGTAGAGAAGCCATATCCTAAGAGGGAAATCGTACAGTGTCACAATTGCCAGGCATATGGCCATACCAGGACTTACTGCCATCATCTTCCGCGCTGTGTGAAGTGTGGAGAGCAGCACAAATCCGGGGAGTGCACAAAACCGAAACGGGATCCTGCAGTTTGTGCTTTGTGCCTTGAAGGACATCCAGCGAACTATAAAGGCTGTCAGATCTACAAGAATATCAAATCAAGATATCAAAAATCCCGGACCCAAGAAGAAGCAGAGGCATCAAGAAGAGAACCTAACGCATCAAGAAGAGGACCTTCAAAAATAATTGACCCAACGGTGTCTTTTGCACACTTGTTAGGAGGTAAGAATGATGTTACTTATTGTGAGACCCTGCCGCAACAACAACACATGCCTCAAAATTCTCAACCCTACCCTCAACATGTTAATCAAACTTCACCTAATCAACAGTTTTATCAACACCAAATTCCCCACATTCCTCCTCCCTCAAACACCACAGATCTCACCAGTTTATTTACATCTTTCCTCTCCGAATTCAGATCCCTTGTTACTCCTTTGATATCTCTTCTCACCAATCTTGTATCACATTTTATCCCTCCCGCTAAAAATCCTTAAATGACTTCCAATAAACCTTTATCCATTCTCCTTTGGAATGCGAATGGTGTTAGGAATCATACAAACGAACTAACTACATTATTACTTGACAAAAATATTGACGTGGCACTAATTACTGAAACTCGACTAACCACTAAACAGCACTTCAAAATACCACAATACCTGACATATCGTACTGACCACCCTGACGGAAAAGCACATGCCGGTACTGCTGTCATTGTACACCAATCCCTCTCCCACCACATACTCCCGTTAGCTACACATGATTTCCTACAGTTCACCGCTATCGTGATAAAAACCTTTTCCTTTCCGGTTACCCTTGCATCAGCGTATTGCCCTCCTAACCGATCCATATCCAATGCCCAATTCCGTTCTCTCCTCGACTCCTTAGGACATCACTTCATCTTGGGTGCAGACCTAAATGCCAAACATCAACAATGGGGTTCTAGAACCACGAATACTCGTGGCCGAACCCTGCTGTCTGCACTCAATTCCCAACGTTTTCACCTCCTTTCCCCCAACTCTCCTACCTACTGGCTTACAGATCCCAACCGTAATCCTGATCTCCTTGATTTCTTTATCCACAGTGGCTTAAGTCCCCTCAATTGTTCCATTAAACGTCTAAATGAACTTTCCTCTGACCATAGTCCTCTAATCCTTAATGTTTCACTTGAACCCGTTCCCAAACCTTCTCCACCGTCATTTATTAGGGGTCCAGTTAACTGGGACCTTTTCCGCCAAATCATCTCCGATAAAATTGATCTTAACATAACCCTCAAAACTCCCGATGACCTTGATAGTGCCGTAAATTCCTTTACTACCACAATCCAACAAGCTGCCTGGACTGCCTCCTTCCCTAAAGACTCCTCCAGAATTCCTAAAAAGACCATTCTACCCCAACACCTCCTTGACCTAATCCACACCAAACGCCGTGCCAGATTATTGTGGCAACGTACCCGACATCCTGCCGACCGCTGCTCCTATAATTATTACTGCAAAAAATTAAAACTGGAATTAGCCACCTTCAGATCACATTCCTTCAACTCCTACCTATCCTCCCTCTCTTCTCGCGACAATTCCCTTTGGAAAACCACAACCAAAATCCTAAATCCTCACCGCATTTCCCATCCCCTCCGACGAGATGATGGCTCCTGGGCAGCATCTGACGAAGATAAGGCTGAGGAGTTCGCCATTCACCTATCCAATACATTTATTTCACATC